TCTCACTATGACATAGACGTTGGGTGGCTTGACCCTTTTAAATTGTTTTATGTTAATGTAAAAATCTGTAAGAAATCGAGTCTATGCATGGTCATTCCCTACGAGTAAACTTATTTATTCACCCCGAAATTACCGAGGGTATTGTTCAGGTACAGGATTCAAGATTCGGAGATTTGCACTTGCCTTGGGTGGTTTGGAGATTTGAAATTTCTTTTAAAGCATTCTTGTTCACATGCAAGTGTTAGCATGTTTAAGTTTTACTTTTGATATTGTAACACTTAGTTAGGTTCAATAAGCTCTTCTTGCCTTATTATATGTAAAGTGTACTTAGATACACTATTTGGGATGTATTTGATATGTATGACATGAGGCCAAGGGCCAAGCACGTTTATGTTTGCACTTGTACTACTTTGGTGTTATATTTTGTTTAAAAATGTATTTTTATCAACTTTGGAGGTTTGACATGTAAAATCTTGTAAACGCTATGTAATGAGGCCATGGGCCATTGTAACACACTTTAATACTTAAAGTATACTTGTTGGCATGCTTACATAGCTTAAATATTGTTTTTGGACCAATTTCATGTCGGGGTTTGAGGCTTGCGTGAAGCCTCCACATTTCTTGTGCATAATAGGTCATTCAGCACCATCTCGAGTCATTTCGGTTGTCCGAAATGCTAGTTCGGTCGACCAATGGCTTTTGGAAACTTCATTGCACTGTAAAACACTTGTTCCAGTAGCTATTTTCACTGTTTGGGCCTATTTCGGTCGACCGATGGCTTATTTCGGTCTACCGAAGTAACCTCCTTTCAAAAATATGTTTTTAAGAAAGTTGTTGCCCAGTTCGGTCGTCCGAAACTCCATTTCGGTCGACCAAAATAGCTTTCATTCACCAGCCTCTTCAGTTTTGTTTCAGCACTGATGCTCCAACTTAAAATGGTCATATCTCCTTCATTTCTAATCCAAATGGGGTGATTCTTGAGCCTAAATTTATGGATTTTGAGTCCGCTTTCCAATGGTACCAATTCCATTCTTAGATTCAAATCACTGTGGGAGTTATTCAAGTTTTAGTGAAGTAATGTCAGGATTTGCTTGAACCAAGAATGGGCGTTTTGTGGAATTCGTGTCCAAAGTTCTTAGAACCTTTTGAAATGTTATGAAATGATTAGTTTAGATTGTGTGGAGCTCATTTGACTTACTTAGAGTCAAATCTCTCTTCTCATTTGTAAATTGACCATTTTGCCCTTGATTAACGGGTTTTTGCTCATTTTTCTGCATCTTGTCGTTTCTCCTTCGTTCGGATTCCGAATCATGCAATTCTTGAGTCCATCTTGATTAGTTTTTCGTTTTCTTTCCAGCGGTGTGCTCGGTGGCACCCAAATCCATATTTCAGAAATGACTATTTCGTCCCTTGAGGCTTAATTGTTATTTTTCCTATCTCTTGCCTACACACTTTATTCCTTTGAGTTCTGTGACCTCATGAAAGGTCATCTTAGGGTCTTAGAGGTGTATTATGCCTTGGGAGACCATTGTCTTATTTCTTGCTTCTGCATCTGGATTCGTTAACGGATCAATCTTCGGTTCATCATTGACGCACCGGGTTGAATAAAAACTCGGGTCCTTATATTAAATCTTTAACATTATATTTAGAGAAATACCATTGTGTAATAATCTCATTCACAACTACAAGAAGTAAATGAGTTGTGTTCAATCACAAGATTAAAGTATCTAAGACAAGATAAAAAAATATTTGTAATTGAATTAAAACTCTAAAACCAATTCTTATTGAAAATTCAATTAAAAACCCTATAGATTACACAATCATGCATGATAAAAATTATTCTCCAATAATTAAATACAATCAAACCAGTGTGCTAAGTTAGGGCTACATCACAACCCTAGCAAAGCGTTTATCCAAGCATGACTGGAGTGGAATTCTTCATGGTTGAGGAAGACATCTTCACTGCCATGGATCGATCTCTTTTTCCTTCTGAATGCTCCTCTCTGATCTCAGCCTCGCTCTTCTGTATGATTATTCAATGCTGTAGAGGGCTCCCTTTAAATAATAAAAGATCAGTCCTAAAGTTTCTTTTTTCATATCGAAGAGATACATAGAAATTCTGTCAAATAAAGACTCTAAAATTCGTACAGACTTCTAGGCCAATTTTAACAAGGTAAATAGCTGTTTTATGGAATCCTTGTGAAATACAAAATTGTAGCTCTTCGAATTTCCTTTCAACTAGCATTGGAATTTAGCTGTTTTGACACTCGAGGAGAGAGATACAGCCAGATTACCAAAACGGGTTCAAGTTACCAACTTTGGCGAAAGCTTCCTTTTTGGAGAAGGATTTTTCATTTTCTTCTTCTTTCCATTCTCGTCAACTTGTGGCTTCTTTTGGACTATTTTCTTAGTATAATTAGACCTTTTAAAGCTCAGAATCACTGGTTTTGACTGATTTTACAATTAAAGCCCTGAAATAAATAAAAACAATAAAATAATGTAAAATCACAAATAAACTACTATTAAGATAATAAAACATGCAAATAAAGGGGCTAAAATGTATAACATTCAGCGCCTAACACAGCCCCAAACTTACATATTGCTAGTCCCATAGCAATAAAACTAAAGAAAACATAAATGCCACTTTCGTGGGAATTACGATTGCATTTAGCGTATGCAACAAGCCTTTTAAACCCCTAGGTTATCCCTAGTGGACGAGTGAAGTCTCGTGAGGGTTTCCAAATATGATACCCACAAACATACAACACAATTCAATCCTTTAGCAATCAACTTATTCTTATATCATCACAATAATCAAGGGGAAGACTACACAAAAGTACTTTAAAAATTGTCATCTGACTATACTCCTTAGTCCCTATTTTCATACTTCATCCCAATGTTTCCCACACACTTATATAACAAGAAAAATAGCAAAATCAATCCCCAATGTTGTGAAATTTGTAAACTAGCAAGTCACATATGTAGTAATGTCTTTTCAATTGAACCCAACTTCTATAACTTCAGTTCCTCAAATCCCTTCTCAAGTTATTTTCTATGGCAAAATATTATTTATTTATTTATTTTTTTTCTTTATCCTTACCCCCATTTCTTCATGCGACACTCTATGCATATAAGACATGAGCCCCGATTACTCCATGAAAGGGTTACAAATTTTTTTTTTTCTTTTATTTTTTCTTTTATTTTTTATTTTTTAATATCTCTGCCATAGTAATAACCTTCAAAGTTCACCAATTCATATCTATCCATAGTCATCAGAATTCAACAAAAAATACAAATACCCGTCGATAAAATTCTAGAGTGCATGTGAAATACATCAGGGACCGACAATTACTAAAATTCCTATCATACTAGATAATGGAATCTACATAAAATAAAGCACGAAAATTAGGAATTCAAGACGATCTCAGAAAAGAATTTTAAAAAGTACTTAAGTGTCTTAATCTCCTCAACAATTCTCAAATACTGAATTAAAGTCAATATGCCAAAGAAAAAGAATTGATTTTTTTTTTAATTTTTAATTTTTAATTTTTTTTAACAACTAGAGTAGACTCTATGGCCCCAAACTTGAATTAGATAGTGTCCTCACTGGGCAAAATTCAAAAGCAAGAATAATAATAACTAAAAAGAAAAATAAAAACAGAGAATGAAAACACCTGACAGGATATCTGGAATTGAGGCGGCAGAGTATCGGGAATTTGGTGAAAGCTCCCAATTGCAACACTTGGTGGGCGGGGTTCCCAATTTCTAATAGGATGTTGATTTCTTCTCCAAAGTGGCACACAATATGGGCAATGAACGAATGGTAATGGAATTAGAGTGGTGAGGAAGAAAGAATTTTTTTTTTCTTCTTTTCTTTTTAGATTGGTGGAATTTGATGTATGTGGAATAGAATTTAGTTATGTGGAAGGGAATTTAATAAGAAATTTCGTAATGGGTGATGATGGGTAGTGGGTTGAGTAGGAAATTAATGGGGGTGTGTTACTGTAGGAATATATAGGAGAGAGAAAACTGAGAGAACAGTTGTCATTCGTTGCTTTCCTTATAACTGTAGTAGCAGGCTAACTTCCGCTTCTTTATTGTTTTTAAACGGGCTACCTGAAACGCCATTGTTCCACCTGGGTCTGTGGCCAGAAAAAAATTGACGGGCGCTGATATGGGATTGCCGAAAATTCCACCCCTCAGGGTGATGGTTGCCCGGATCTGTGATTGCGCCGGAATGTGTGGCCGGGTGATGGTTGCTGCCTTGCCGGGCCTGTTGCTTCTGTTGGAAAAAAAAATTGTCGGCGTTGCTGGCGGCTGTTGCATCGCCAAGTGGGCGACAGTCGCTGTTGAGCCAGGTGATAGTCGCCTGGTAGCTGCTGTCTTGCTTCGTCGCGGGTCGCCAAGGGGGTAACTGTCACATTTAAGTCGGGCGAGTGATTGCCCGGCACTGCTCATGTCACATTAGAAAAAATCACCAGGTGATGGCTGCCCATGGGTCGGGCGATCATTCACCCGGACCTGCTACTGGAGTCTGCACCTGGGCGATGGTTCGCCCTTGCCTGTTGTTGGTCCGAAATAAATTTTTTTTTTTTTTTCAAAGGCAAACTTCAAACGACCATAACTTTGGTATCGGTGGTTCGTTTTGGATGAATTTTTTTTTTTCATTTTGGGTGTTTTTTCGAGATCTACGCGATGCAAACCGCCGATTGACGTTTTGACTCAACAAAATGCTCTGTTCCGCTCCAATCAAACTTTTTTTCTTTGTATGCCATGGAAATTTTTTTTATTTTCTTTGAGACAAGCACGGTACAGTCATCATTGCACAACTTGTATCCTGCACAAGTAACTAAAAATTCTACAAAACAAATTAAATCCTCATAATCTACTAAAACAAAAGATAAAATTAAAGAGAGAGATAAAACAAAAAATACATAAATGAAAAATCCTACCTACAATTCCTACATTTAACGTCGGTAGGTGACGTGATACCTGGATGATTAGGTAGAGTAAATGGGATCCGTCAAAGTGACGGATTCAACTCCTTCTGTAGGCACAGAATCTTCAATGTACCAATCTTTCCGATCCGGCCGAACAGTTTTCTTTCTTGACCCCATCCAATTCATCATACCATGGTGGAGTCTCCTTCTGAAGTTGCAATAGCTGCTTATCCGGGAATGAATTATGCAATGGAAGAGTGTTTTCTGCCCAAGATATGCATACTTCAAATGAGAGGGTAACGACTTCAGCTCTAGCTCTGGTGGATACTTCAAAGATAGCGTAGGTGGTTCACTTGACAATGGTAGAAGTGGCTCAATAGGAATTTTCCATAGTGGAATATTATGCATATTGGCTCCATCAAGAATGACATTCACCTCTTCACTACTTTTGTTGACATCAAAGGACTTGGTATCAAAATAAGATAGGCATGCTTCTAGTGGATCTTTTGTCAAGGCAAATAGGGACATCTTTTCAACACATTCATCGATGGTATCGACAAGAAAGCAATCCTTATCATCTGAAGGGCAATTACTGGCATTGAAAATATTTAAACGCACCTTCATATTGCCAAAAGATAAGTCCATGATGTCATTCCTATAATTTATGCTTGCATTTACTGTCGCAAGGAAAAGACGACCAAGGATCACTGGAATGTGCCTCATTGACTCTGGAACTAGCTCGGTATCTAGTACAATAAAGTCCACTGGGAAGTATAATTTATCTACTTTGATGATCACATCTTCGATAATACCACGAGGCTGCTTGGTTGATCTATTTGCTAATTGGAAAATAATTGAGGTAGGTTTCAATTCTTCTAATCCAAGTTGCAAGTAAACTGAATAAGGAAGAAGGTTTACACTTGCACCCAAATCTAGAGAGCTCGCTCTACTTGATGATTCCCTATTGTGCATGAAATTGTTAGAGCGTCTGGATCTTTGAATTTTGGAGCAGTACAGTGTTGGATTATGGAACTGACTTGCTCAGTTAATAGCACATTCTTAAGAACATGGCTATTTGAACGCCTCTTATGAGTACACATATCTTTCAGAAATTTGGCATAAGCTGGAATTTGCTGAATTCATCAAGCAATGGGAGATTAATTTTCACCTGTTTGAACATCTCTATTATGTCCTGAAGTTTGCTTGCTTGCTTCGCTGCCTTTGATGTTTCTTGTAGTCTTTGAGGGAATGGCACAACTGCATGCCTTTGCTCAAGAGATGGCTCAGTAGTTGGAGGTACTTCTTGTGCTTTTTCATTACGCTCATTTTTCTCTTCAAGTCTTTTCTTCCAATTTTCATCCTTCTTTGCTTCCTCTTCTTCCACCTTGTTTTCAACTCTCTTACCACTTCTTAAAGTAATAATTACTTGCACTTGTTCATGGTGAACTTCTTGGCCAGTAATGTCATCAATTATACGCACACCTCTTAGATAAGCTACTGGTTGACTAGGAAGTTTGCCATCCTCTCTTCTGTTCAAGGCTTGAGCTAGTTGGCCAACTTGAGCCTCTAACTTGGCAAGGGATTGAGAATGAGACTGCACAAGTTGATTAGTTGGCTCTAACTGCTTTGCTATCATTGCCTCGAGCATTGATAAGAATTGTTGAGGTTGACTAAAGGCATTCATAGGAGTGAACCCTTAAGGATTTGAAGTCTAAATTAAAGATTAAAAATTGCCTTGTACCTGAGGTACTTGAGGTGGAGGAGCTAATGTCCCTGTGGCTGGATTTCTCCATGAGAAGTTTGGATGGTTTTTCTAAACCAGATTGTAAATGTTTGAATACATATTATTCCCTCCGGGCGTTCCATAGGCAGCGTTAACTTGCGCTTGTGAAATTCCTGAATACTGAGCTGCACTTGGACAAATGGACACATGGTGAGATGGACAAGAACAGAAAGAGCACACTTCAAAGCCTTGAGCATTAGTCGAAGGAGGAATAAAATTTGACTGTGAAGTCATCAATTGATTCATCCTCTTGGTTAATGCCTTAATTTGGCTCACTAGCCCTTGATTTATTCCTGTTTCATTCACACTTTCTGCTCTCCTCAATATAGTGTGAGGTCTTGCTACTGGAGGTAAGACATGTTGTGTAGAATTATCAGAGATATTTTCGAAGAGCTGTCATGCCTCCTCTACACTTTTCAACATAAAATTTCCACCACAAGAGGCATCCACCATATACCTTTATGCCTCATTGAGCCCCTTATGGAAAAAGTTGATAAGCTGCCATTTTGGCATATCATAATGAGGACACTTCCGAAGGAGGTCTCTGAATCTTTCCCAAGCCTCATGAAAAGGCTCGTCAGGCCCTTAAGCAAAACGAGTAATAGCATCTCGATATTGAGTAGTTCTTATCATGGGGAAGTACTTGTTCAAAAACTTTTGTTGCAATTCAGCCCATGCAGTGATGGAGTCTATTGGCAATGAATTAAACCAGTCATTCGCCTTGTCCTTTAATGAAAAGGAGAAAAGGTGTAGCTTGAGCATATCATCGTCAAAGCTCTAGATCTTTATTATTCTGCACACCTCTGCAAAGTCATCCAAGTGCCGGTATGGATCCTCTTTTGATAGGCCGTAAAAGGAAGGCAGTTGCTGAAGAGTACTGGCCTTAATTTTGTAGTGAGGGGCCCTTACTTAAGGGTACCGAACTGCAGATGAAGAGTTGTATGCACCTGGTCCGTAGTGATCCTTTAAACAGCAAACTGCTTCTGCAGCTGGTGGATCTATTCTTCCTTCAATTTGCAACTCCCTACGGTTCTGTTGATCATCCACCATCTTTTCCTTTTTAAGGCCTGCAAAATCTTTCTTCAAGTTTCTGAGAGTCTTTTCTATTTCTGGGTCTAATGGAAGCTTAGGAAGTGACAAAGAACGCCTTCCACCTGAAATTGTGAATAGAATAAAATAAAATAAAATCCTAAACTAAGATCCTAATTGAAATTAATTACAAAATTTAATATAATCTGTCAAGAACTAAAACAAATCCCCCGCAACGGCGGCAAAAACTTATTGTGAGATTTATATGTACCACTCGCAAGTGCACGAATCTTTGCAGATAGAGTTTACTTGTAAGGGTGTCGTACCCAAGGGACTTGTGTAAAATAAGTTTGTCAGCAGATTTCTTAAATTCCAAATTAACTTGAAATTAGGATAATCGAATTGTGATGATTAATTCTAAATTAACTAAATAAAAAATAAAATAAAAAACAATAATTAAATAAGATGTAGAAAATAGAGAGAGGACTAGGGGAATGACTTCACCACTAACGTCGCACCACCAGTTAATTGTATCAATTTATTGGAGATATATAACATAACATGCATAGGGAATTAATCATGGCTATAAACGCATATTAATTCAGCTAGAAAATAATATAATTTAAAGCTAAGCATGGACTATCTTCGATTGGCATAAACCATCTACCTATCTACTTTACTCTAGGGTGTAGCATGGTCTATCTTTTCTAGGCATAATCCATCAAATCTCTAACATTATATTCAGAGAAATACCATTGTGTAATCATCTCATTCACAACTTCACAACTACAAGAAGTGAATGAGTTGTGTTCAATCACAAGATTAAAGTATCTAAGACAAGATAGAAAAATATTTGTAATTGAATTAAAACTCTAAAACCGATTCTTATTGAAAATTCAATTAAAAACCCTATAGATTACACAATCATGCATGATAAAATTGTTCTCCAATAATTAAATACAATCAAACCAGTATGCTAAGCTAGGGCTACATCACAACCCTAGCAAAGCGTTTAGCCAAGCATGACTGGAGTGGAATTCTTCATGGTTGAGGAAGACATCTTCACCACCATGGATCGATCTCTTCTTTCTTCTGAATGCTCCTCTGTGATCTTAGCCTCGCTCCTCTGTATAATCATTCAATGCTGTAGAGGACTCCCTTTAAATAATAAAAGATCAGGCCTAAAGTTTCCTTTTTCATATCGAAGAGATATATAGAAATTCTGTCAAATAAGGACTTTAAAATTCGTACAGACTTCCAGACCAATTTTGACAAGGTAAACAGCTGTTTTATGGAATCCTCGTGAAATACAAAATTGTAGCTCTTCGAATTTCCTTTCAACTAGCGTTGGAATTTAGCTGTTTTGACACTCAAGGAGAGAGATACAGCCAGATTACCAAAATGGGTTCAAGTTACCAACTTTGGCAAAAGCTTCCTTTTTGGAGAAGGATTTTTCATTTTCTTCTTCTTTCCATTCTCATCAACCTGTAGCTTCTTTTGGACTATTTTCTAAGTATAATTAGACCTGGATCTTCAACATTGCTCAGTCCTACGGAATATTATCTTTTAAAGCTCAGAATCACTGGTTTTGACTGATTTTATAATTAAAGCCCTAAAATAAATAAAAAATAATAAAACAATGTAAAATCGCAAATAAACTACTATTATGATAATAAAACATGCGAAAAATGTATAACATTCAGCGCCTAACACTAATCTACAAAAGTAAAAATGTGGATCATATGGAAATCAAGTAAAATGAATGCATGCAAGGTCGGAATCAAATCCGAGCACGACCCGATAGGTTACGCAAAATGAAAAGATAGTGAAAAAGTGACGGAAAAAGAAAACTCGGAAAAAGAAATCAACAGAAAAAAAAATTATCCATAAAATTTGAGGGAATGAAAATGAAGAAAAATGATCGGGTCATTACATGTTTTGCCAATGTATTTTGTGGTGTGCGTCCAAATCTCTGCCATTTTCAGTGACGGAGCCAGCATGGTGTGGGGGGCCTGGCCCACAAATTATTTTTTTAAACATAGGCATGTTACTTATGAAATATTACGTCGTGCCTCCCTAAAATTATTTTTTTTCTATAACACCCTTGGGCCTAATTTTTTTTATTATGCATATAGGTGTATAATTTGTCAATTATTACTTTATGCCCTCCTAAATATAAATCCTGCCTCTGCCCCTTTTTTAAGGCTAATTTTCTCATTCCTATTTATTTTAGTTTTACGTAATTACGTAGGGCATTCAACTTATTTTTTTTTCCTTTTCTTATCATCTTACAAGCTCCCAAGTGACCATATTTGAGTAGTTTGCCATAAAAAAAAAAAAAAAAAAAAAAAAAAAAAAAAAAAAAAAAAAAAACCCTTATCAACAATCCTATAATTGAATTAATGACTATTTCTATGAAAATTTGTGAACTTGTAAATAAATTACTAATAAATAAGACATTGAAGCTGGAAGAGGCAAGAAAGGTATGTGGTCAAGACAAACCTACCTCCCAACTACAACCTAACACCCATGCACATTGATGACCTGACCTCATATTTTGTTGGCCACATAGTCACCTACCACCCACTTCATTACTCCAGCCAATAATCGACCTAACTCTCCCCCGTCTCTCTCTTATCTCATATATACAAAAAAGACATGGTAGATGTTAGTTGCTTCATGCATCAAAATACAGCATATATATCAATCAATCCGATTAAATGAAGTTTTAGGATAAAAAGTAAAAAATAAAAAAAAAAAATAAAATAAAAAAATAGATTTGATCTTACCAAGATTGGTTGGTAGCTGCACTACCCAGACTGGCCTCTCAGTCAAATGCCTGTTTCTTATATCAATTTATGATTATAAACACAAATGATGCAATGTTTATTTTGATGGGAATTTGTTGTTGTGTGGTCTGGTGGGGTCTTAATGGGGGCCTAAGATTTGACCTGTTTTAGAGAGAGAAGGAAGATAATTGTAGAGAGAGAAAGATAGGGGGTAGCTGGGGGAAGTGCTGCTACTACTCCTAGACAGGGAAGGAACGCAAGGTGTGGTGGGCAGCTACCACGTGGGTGATGATGTCGGCACATTAAAACAAAACCAAACCAAATACTACCGCCACCGTTTCATCTAAAATAATTCAGATTTGGAACATCATCACATTGCCAGTTTTGCTCTGATTCTGCCTACGATTGCTGGCTTCAAACGGACCAATCAACGTTGTTGAAGGAAAGAATTTTGATCTGGGTTTCAAACATTCCACCTTCTTCTCTTCTGTCGGCCCTACTCAGGTGAGTTACCTTACCCATTTCACTCTCTCTCTAAAACTTATTCCTGGTCCATTACCCAATTGAATGCTAATTTCGCCATGCTTAGTGTTGTGGTTTTTTAGTGGTTATATATATATATATATATATATATATTCCACTTTGCTGATATGGGTATGTGTGTTCTTGTGGAGAAAATTCATACAAGGGCTGTTTGTACAAAGTCTAATTCCGAATTGAACTTACTTTTGAAGGGATTTCTGTTAATCTAAAACTGATACTATCAGCAATCCATTTGGTTACAGGTTGTGAATTAACAGGTCAATCATCATGTCAGAAACCCAAAGTATGGCAATCTCGGTGGTGGGCGTTGGGCGTAGCAGCAATGGGTACATAAATGGAGCAATTGCATTAAGGTCCCCTAATGTGGCATCTGAAGTTGATGCATTTTGTAACGCCCTTGGTGGGAAAAGGCCAATTCACAGTATCTTAATTGCAAACAATGGAATGGCAGCTGTTAAGTTTATACGTAGCGTCCGAACGTGGGCTTACGAAACATTTGGTACAGAGAAGGCAATTTTGTTGGTCGCCATGGCTACTCCAGAGGACATGAGAATCAATGCAGAGCATATTAGAATTGCTGATCAGTTTGTTGAAGTTCCCGGTGGGACTAACAATAATAATTATGCTAATGTTCAGCTCATTGTAGAGGTTGGTAAAATTTTGACTCTATGGCATGCTTATTATCTAAGTTTCTGCTTTGCTGATGATTTCATATTATGTAACCAATAAACTTCTTTTTTCCATTGGAAATGAATACTAACTTAAATTTGAATTAACTTATGTATCAGAGTATGTTTTGTGTGTGTGCAAGTAGGGAGGGGTATCATCAGTAGTGAAAAAAATAAAAATAAAAACCATTAAACTAGATGCGGGGATAAGTTTTGATTCTCATTTAAACATGAATCCCTGTAAAATTTGTGCATTTTCATAGTGTTAAAATTTTGATTTATGGATACCCAGATGGCAGAGATAACACATGTTGATGCAGTTTGGCCTGGTTGGGGTCATGCATCTGAAAACCCTGAATTGCCAGATGCACTGAATGCAAAGGGAATCATATTTCTTGGGCCACCTGCAACATCAATGGCAGCACTAGGAGATAAAATAGGCTCATCGTTGATCGCTCAAGCGGCAAATGTGCCCACCCTCCCATGGAGTGGATCTCATGTATGTTTTTCCACTTATGAATTCTGCCCATTGTTAAATTTTTGCAGAGATCACCACACATCTAATACGTTAGACTTTTATTTGTATTAGGTGAAAATTGATGCAGAAAGCTGTTTAGTTACTATTCCAGATGATATATACCGGGAAGCATGTGTTTATACAACAGAAGAAGCAATTGCTAGCTGTCAAGTTGTGGGTTATCCTGCAATGATTAAGGCATCTTGGGGTGGCGGTGGTAAAGGCATAAGAAAGGTTTGATTCACTCTATGTTTTAGTGACAAATTCTGACTGCCTGCCATATTTTCATTGTTCTTAAATTATTTCCTCAAATATGGTTATGAATAAATTTCCTTTTAATTGGTGATATGCATGTGAAGCCATGGTCAACAAGAGACATATAGGGTTCCTTAGTATGTCCAAGAGCTTCATCTGGACAGTGTTTTTGCCTAATATTTCTACGCTGTGTGACTGTTTGAATTTTAGGTTCACAATGATGATGAAGTCAGAGCGTTATTTAAGCAAGTACAGGGTGAAGTTCCTGGTTCACCCATATTTATCATGAAGGTTGCGTCCCAGGTGAGATTGCTACTACCTTCTGATGTGAACCAAATACTTACTTTGTAGAAGTTGCAAGAGTTTAGACCGACTCTAACATGACATATTTATCTTGAAAGTAGAGCCGGCATCTGGAAGTCCAGTTGCTTTGCGATCAGTATGGTAATGTTGCAGCTTTGCATAGCCGTGATTGCAGTGTCCAGAGGCGGCATCAAAAGGTAATTTCGCCCTTTTGATGCTTATTGTATACTTATTTTCATTTCCAAAAGTGTACTTCATAAAGCAATTAATGTTGTTTTTCTTTATTGTTGAAAAATTAAGGGTACATAGAATTATCTTTGAGGAATATTATCACTAAGTGTGGTCATTTATGTTGAATAGATTATTGAGGAAGGTCCAATTACCATTGCTCCCCTTGAGACGGTCAAAAAGCTAGAGCAGGCAGCTAGAAGATTAGCCAAATGTGTTGATTATGTTGGAGCCGCTACTGTTGAATATCTATACAGTATGGACACCGGGGAGTACTATTTCCTAGAGCTCAACCCTCGGTTGCAGGTTCGTAATGTTGGTTTCAACATCAATCTGGACTATGTCATATACAGGAATCTTATTTCTGCTGTCATCGAATTTCTCGTTGAATTGCTTTTGTGCATTTAGCATCATTGCAGTAGGTGAGAATCTCCCTTGGGTGATCAGAAATTGGTTGTTGCTTGAGAGAACATGCACAACCTAATTTTGTTGCCTCACCTCAAGTAGATATAGAAGTATTGTGTGGTTTCAGGTGGTTAGAAAAAAAATTATTTGTATTCAAGGGTTGAAAGGTCATTCAGAGAATTAACTCCAAATGATTACCAAGCTAGCTTTTTCAAACATGTGAAATTCGTCTCCATGTTGTAATTGGTTTAGTGACACGCACGCGCAATATGTAGAAAATATTACTTTATTTGATTTAATATAAAGTGGTATGACTGCATTACCAATACTTTGTTATGCGGATGCACTTTTTTTTTGGTTTTTTTCAAAGAAAAAAAAAAATTTCTTACAGTTGCTTCTACTTTAGGTGGAGCACCCTGTCACTGAGTGGATAGCTGAAATAAATCTGCCAGCAGCGCAGGTTGCAGTTGGGATGGGTGTTCCTCTCTGGCAAATTCCTGGTATGACTTTAGCGAATTTTAGATTATTCTTTTAAACCTTTATTTGTCATTTATCTTATCTTTCTGCATCCTGTGTTTCTGATCCTCCTTATTAGAAATAAGGAGATTTTATGGAAAGGAATATGGTGGAGGGTATGATGCTTGGAGGAGAACATCAGTTGTTGCTACCCCTTTTGATTTTGACAAGGCAGAGTCCACAAAGCCAAAAGGTCATTGTATAGCTGTCCGTGTAACAAGTGAGGATCCTGATGATGGTTTTAAGCCTACTAGTGGGAAAGTACAGGTTAGATTTCACAAGACAGTGAGCAGTCTCACTTTGATTATCTGTTTTGTGATTTCATATTGAACATGTACTGAGATAAATGACTATGTACAGGAGCTGAGTTTCAAAAGCAAGCCAAATGTGTGGGCATACTTTTCTGTCAAGGTATATGTTTCATCATACAATTATATAGGACAAAAGCTCAAAGTTCTAGATTTGACAATGATTTGATCACACTTTGATGATTTGCAGTCTGGAGGAGGCATTCATGAATTCTCAGATTCTCAATTTGGTAAGCGGTCACTTGATGAGAAACTTCATGAGCTAGTTTAATCGATAACGCAGATGCAACTTCATGATAAACTGAAATCTGTTAGCTGGTTGAGTTCCAGGCAATAGTAAAAAACTGTGGTTCCAGGAGTTCCAATAATATTTAAACTCTGCTTAAATGGTCACTTGTTTTTTTGTTGGGCACACTGAACATATTCTCATGCTTTGTTTTTTTTGTTTGGTAAGTAACATTTTCTAATGCTTTTAAAAGCGTTAGGATACCTTCAGATATTGTTTGTCTAATAAAAAATCTTTGGAATGTAATTTTTTCTTGCCATACATTAGATGACAGTCGTAGCAAAATAAGTGTCATCATAATATAATAAAATGCATAACATCACCAGATGTGGTGAAATCTTGTACACTTTACTAAAATTAACAATGTTGACACGAAAATAGTGACCAACTTTAGCCAGAAGAAAATGGGATTAAAGTATCCTAATAATGTAAAGGTTTTGAAGAATTATGTATTGGAATATACGTGTGTTATATTAATATGAAAAACATAACAATTTAACTTTCTTGTACCTTGAATAGCTTAGGTCCTTAGAGATGTTCCTTGGATTACAAAAACCTGAATATGTTTTCTCATATATTTGAACATTCCTTATCAAACTTTCTATTATTTAGCAACTATATTTACACACACGCGTACATATTTGTAAAGTATCTTCTGTTAATTCTGAATAGTTGAAAAATGGATGTTCTCTTAAAAATTCTGTAAACATACTTGTTTCTAGGCATTAAATCTTAGTGTCTCCAGCTAAAAAACACGACCAATCTTACTGCAGGACATGTGTTTGCATTTGGAGAGTCCAGAGCGCTAGCTATTGCAAACATGGTCCTTGGCCTAAAGGAAATTCACATTCGGGGAGAAATTCGTACCAACGTTGACTATACAATTGATCTATTACATGTAATTTTTTCAAAATTTGACAACCCAATCCTATTCGATGTTTTCATTTTACTTTTATGTTTCTGGATATGGAAGCCAACACATGTAAAACATTTTTGCAGGCATCTGATTACAGGGACAATAAAATACATACAGGCTGGTTGGACAGTAGAATAGCGATGCGAGTTAGAGCAGAAAGACCCCCTTGGTATCTCTCTGTTGTTGGAGGGGCTCTTTATGTAAGTCTACCTATTTAGATAGTGAATTTAGGTCCATGAAGATTTAAAGTTGTGCAAAGTATCTCTGCTACCTTAGTTAATACCATCATTTTCTGACCTAATTTTGACAATTTTAGAAAGCATCTGCTAGCAGTGCAGCCATGGTTTCAGAATATGTTGGTTATCTTGAAAAAGGGCAAATCCCCCCTAAGGTACTTTTGCTGCAGAATATGTGCTTTCGGACCTGATTTACTGGTTCGTAATCTTATTCTATTAATTAACGTGTGCCCCAATTTGCAGCATATATCACTTGTTAACTCTCAGGTTTCTTTGAATATAGAAGGAAGCAAATACAAAGTAAGTTTTCTGATGACATATGAGATTATTTGGTTGTACTGAGCTGCATTTTAAGTGCAGAGATCATGGTGATTTTTGGGTCATCAGACTGCTTTACATGTCACTAATTGTGGAAGATTGTTTTATAGATTGATATGGTAAGGGGAGGGCCAGGAAGCTATAGATTGAGGATGAATGAGTCAGAGGTTGAGGCAGAGATACACACTCTTCGCGATGGAGGTTTATTGATGCAGGCAAGCATTTATTCTCTACAACTTTTACTTTTTGTTTTCCTTATGTGTGACTTTGCTAAAGTTTGTATATCCAAGGTTTGTTTGTGCATATGGTCTTGGTCTTATGTAAGCTGATGAATCTACAATGGACGTGCTCTGATACCAATTGAGAAGTTTACAATTGATATGCTCTGATACAAATTGTGAAGTCTAGGACCGTAACCTGAGGCTTTGATGTGAGAGTACTGATTTTTTAACTTAAATAATTATATTGAATACGCAACAATAGGAACTAGTTAAATGTATAATTCAATAATAAATAAACCATGCAAACCACGCATGCACACATGATATTTACATGGAAAACCCAAATAGGGATAAACCACGGGACCTTGTCCAGGCGAATTAAATCCATTACAAGAAAGAGATTTATACTAGCTTAACAGTTCCTGAACCATAGAAATCCACAAACTGATCCACTAAACTCTCTATTGAGACTTCAGGCACACAGTTGGGTCGTCAACAGAATCACTCCTCACGCAATCCACTCTTCCATGAGTGATTTGATGTCAAATGACTAGCTGTCAAAGTTGCATGTTCATTGTGTAGAGACACTTCAACATTAAATTCTTCGTGCATCACAAGTGTTATGAAATTCAACAGTCTAAATAATAACTCACCATCTAATGCAAGATGCTGACGATAAAAAAGAAAATTTGTTCTCTAAAAATATATGATCTCTCTAACAGTTCAATCAATAATGTGTGTAGAGATTTCCTTTTGTTTTATTTGTTATGGGAGAGCTTTGAGGTCTTTATATAATGTTTTGAGTCCAAATAAATAAATGTTTATTTAGCTAATAATCAGAAAAGGAAATTTAAAACTTTAGGATTCTGATTTAGAGGAGTTTCTAAAAATTGTTTGTGAACAAATTGATTGATCGAGCTATTGATTGACAGCTATTTGACAGGGCTTGATTGATCGACGCTTCGATTGAAACTCAGTATCTTGGATTTTTGATTGACCATTAGCTCGAAGCGTTGGTATATTACTCCTGAAAATTCAAACCGTCACTTGATTAATTGACAGTCTGTGGGAGCAAATTGATTGATGAACTCTGCTGTTCAATTCAAAATATGGTTTTGAAAACCTTAAATGACCTAGATGGATCTTGGAGAGGCTCAAAGTGTTGTTTAAATGAGATACTCACCAACTGCAATGAGCCTCTCCATGTTTTGAGTAGGGAATTGCTAACATGTGACATGTACCTAAAAATCTCCCCCGTTGGCAGTTCTGAAACACACTTAAACCCAAGTACATACACAAGATTGACCGACTCAACCGAATCACCCAGATGTACATGAAAAGAAATAAAATGACTCAAATTCTACTCAATAACTTGATCTTGGTCAATTTCAAATCATGCTCTCTTGCGTACAAAAAAAAAAAAAAAAAAAAAAAAGAGTAAACATACCCAATCGTAATATTGTCCAAGAAAATATATATAAAAACATAATATATATATATATATATATATATATATATATATATAAAGTAATAAGATATCCCATATCTTCTATCATTCTACCCATATTTGTTGCGGAATTCACAAAAATATAAAGAGGTTACATAGGAGAGATGGAAATAAACAAAAGAAAAACTGAGGATAAAATATTTGCACTTTTCTATTTTTGAGCAAAACTAATAGTCATGCATAATAGAACTTTCTTTTTAACACGACGACACTTTGGCAACAACACATGACTCCACAAATAGTAGAAATCAAAGTATCTATTTTATTAATGAAGAAATCTCAGCAAGTTTAATCCACTTTTCAAAAGAACTTCAATTTTTTTTTTTTTTTTTTCCTTTGTGAAAGAGAATTAAATGATCAATCATAGTGATTTGAGTCTCAACAACAAATGCTAAAACAAGAAAAGGGAAAGACAACAGTTTTATGAAATGGTTCGTAATGACCTAGTCTGCTTGCCAATGTCCTAACGAAACCACTCAAGTCATGCATAGTTGTTATTTAGTAGGAGAAGCAATAGAAATAATTGATGTCTTGGTAAAGCCAAGTCTACCAAGAAAGAATGAAAAGAAAGGGGAAGCGGATTTAGTGGCCAAAGCTGCTCCCAGAAACATGTACATTTATCACCCTTTAATTAAAGCTATCAAGAATCCTATTCACAAATGCAGACCAAATCACAATGCAAAAGAAATTCAAGTGATATATTCAACATGCTCCTTTGAATTTCTCTCATATATCATTTTTTCAGTTCACCAAACCTTGACGGCTTTCTCACTAATGGGGCAGCCAGCTCTTTTCAAAGAAAATAATATTTACTTTTTATTTTTTTTCCTTTGATCTTTGTAGCTTCAGGCCAATCCCATAGGTAGCCCTTTTGAAGTTCGGATACACATCAACACTTTTATTTTTATTTTTTTATATATTCCTTTTCTTTTCCCACTGATGGTATTGTATTATTTCGAATTTTCCATTTTCTTGGTCTTTTGCCATGCATATGATCATTTCAATTTCCACAATTACCAAATTACCAATTCCATGTATAGTGTTGTCTTGTGTCGATATGTTAGTTCTCAAATGTAACACATGATTTTTAGAAATATAGATGGCAGACCAACGACCAGTGGCCAAGCGGTATCAACCTCTTACTTCCCAAAGGGAGGTCAGGGGTTCAAGTCTCAGAAGAGACGAGTGTATGTGAGTACCAACTAGGAAAAAAAAAAGAAATATAGATGGCACTTGTTGTTGTTAGGGGCTTATTTGTTATTACGTTTATAATATTGGGGCTTATGTATAATTTCTGAAACTTATTGGTATGAATAGAATGTGATGGAAGAATGAAAGTATTCTTTCATTCTCTCTCTCTTTCCCCATCTCTCTCTTTTTTTCTCTCATCCTCTTTCTTCTCTTTTTCTTCTTCTTCTTCTTCTTATATTGTACTATTGATTTGATTATATGTCAAAGTCAACACTTGTGTTATCACTAAGTATAGTTATATTCCATAGTTCGCTAGCATTTGTTTCATCCATAGAAGTTGAGTACCATGCACTGACCTGTTAAGGGGTGTGTGGGAGCAATTGCCCCCACTGATTTATTATCATTTTTTTTCAGTATTATATACTTACTGATTAATTTATTTTTGAATTATGTAGCTATAAAATTTTAGAATTTCCCCCACTGAAATTACAGAAAAACCCCACCATTGCCCCCCACAACATACAAAATCATATTTTGTTAAAGGCCGCGTCCACTCACATAATTTTCTGGGTCCATCCCTGTAGAGTACAACAACTTCGAGAAGCTATATATTTTGTTTTAGCCAGGGATATATGGACTTTTTTCTTTTCTTACTAGACCATGGAATAAATATATGAATCTGCCTATCAATATTAAGCACCTACTATGGTACCAATTAATGAGTGTACTGTTGATATGCTCCGATACCATTTGATAATTCTAAAATTGATATGTTCTTATACCAATTTAGAAGTCTAGGACCATAACACGAGGCTCCAATGTGAGAGTATCTCAGGGCTCAAAATAGATTTAGGTCAATCTTGTCCTAATTTAACTAACAATAACTGATTGTTAAACTTTAATAATTATATAAACAATATGAATTAGTTAAATATAGAGAACAAGAAAAAATAAACCAATACGTGGAAAACCCAAAAAGGGAAAAACCACGGGACTTAGTCTAAGCAAATCAAATCCAGTATGAGAAAGGGATTTACACTAGGTTAATAGTTCATGGACCTTAGAGCCCCTAGTTACCACCCCTTAACACAGATTGATCCACTAAACTCTTCACTCTAGTTTTCAGGCACAGTTCTCTCGTCAATAGATTCGCTCATCATGTGATACGCTTCTCCAACCAGTGATTTGATCTCCAATGACTAGTTGCCCAAGTTGTGTCTTTGTGTGGAGACACTTCAATGTTAAATTCTCCGTGTAGCACAAGGATTATGAAATTCAACACTGTGAATAACAACTTTAATGCAAGATGTAAATGATGAAAAGTAAAATAAGCTCTCTAAAAGTATATGATCTCACAATAATGTGTGTAGAGATGTCTCTGTATATACCCATCTGTTGTGAGAGCATAGAGGTCTTTATATAATGCTTTTAAGTCCAAAGAAATTAGGGTTTCTTAGTTATAATAAGAAAACCTAAAATTTCTAGAATTTTGATTTAGAGAAGTTTCCAAACACCATTAGTGCACAGGTCAATCGACCGAGCTATGAATCCACAGATACTGGATATTTCGGTCGCCCATTTGATTGATGCTCTGGGTATGTTAGAATTTTGATGATCGGTCACACTCTGGAATGCTTGATCAATCGACGCGCTCTGCTGTTCAGTTCAAAAAACAGTTTTGAAAAATATTTAAATCCTTTAACTTTGAAAAGCCATTTTTCAAAATTTTATTTAAAACAAAGCTTTGAGCCTCTTCAAGATCAATCTAGATTATTTGAGGTCTTCCGAAGGTCAATTTACCTGTGCTCTAGATATTTGATTGAGGATGCAAATTTCCCGCTTTCTTCTTCGCAAATCTACTTCTGCCTTGTGTACAAGGACAACAGGGCTTCGGGGAGGATTCTTTTCCAAGTTTTTATCGGGAACTGCCAATAAATGACTCATATACCTTACACAAGTTATGTCATGAACTATGTGGATCATTGATATTTGACATTATTTTACCACATTATAAGTGTATTATAGAATTTTGATCTTCAATTTGTCACAGTTGGACGGAAATAGTCATGTTATATATGCTGAGGAAGAAGCTGCTGGGACTCGTCTTCTGATTGATGGAAGGACTTGCTTGCTTCAGGTGCCAAAAGTTGTTTTCATTCTAATGCTTACTTTTAATTATGCTGAATGAGACTTTTAGTTTATATTCTTTATTGTATCCAGAATGATCATGATCCTTCTAAGTTAGTAGCGGAGACACCATGCAAGTTACTACGGTATTTGGTCTTGGATGGTAGTCATGTTGATGCTGACACACCTTATGCAGAGGTTGAGGTTATGAAGATGTGTATGCCACTTCTTTCTCCTGCTTCTGGAGTTATCCAATTTAAAATGTCCGAAGGTCAAGCAATGCAGGTAAATCATATTCTGCATAGGATGTTAAAGTTCTCCGCCCTTGATCACTACTAATAAAATGCTTCTTGTGTAGGCTGGTGAGCTTATAGCAAGGCTTGATCTAGATGATCCTTCAGCTGTAAGAAAAGCAGAACCTTTCCATGGGAGCTTCCCTATCTTGGGGCCTCCAACTGCAATATCTGGAAAAGTTCATCAGAGGTGTGCTGCAAGTTTGAATGCAGCTCGAATGATTCTTGCAGGATATGAGCATAACATTGATGAAGTAAGTATTCTCTTGGGCCTTCCTATTAGCACTCTTGAAGATGAAGTTTGTAATAAAGTTAATTAGTGATTCACCATGAACTGATCTTGCGATGAGCTTGTTATTTTAGCCTATTCAACATAAGAAAACAGCTCTGATCATGTCTGCTGAATTTTTGTCTGATTCTTTAAAATTTTGATTTCTCTTTTCAAATTGTTTCAAATTTATTCTAGGTAGTGCAAAATTTGCTTAGTTGTCTCGACAATCCCGGGCTCCCATTCCTTCAATGGCAAGAGTGCTTGGCTGTTCTCGCAACCCGTCTTCCTAAAGATCTTAGAAATGAGGTCAATGCCTATCTTGATGATTCTCTCTTGTTTTGTCCTTAAAAATAGTGGCTTTGAACTGATTTTCTGATTTGATATTCTTTGAATTACGCAACTGCTGGCAGTTGGAATCAAAACATAAAGAATACGAGGGAATCTCAAGCATGCAGAATGTAGACTTCCCTGCCAAAGTATTTCGGGGTGTTCTCGAGGTTGGGCAATTATTTCAAATTCCATAATTCTTATATATATATATTTTAAAGTTGTTATTCACTTTTAAGTATTTATCCTTTTCACTGAAGGCTCATCTTAGCAACTGCCCTGATAAAGAAAAAGGAGCTCAAGAAAGGCTTGTTGAACCTTTAATGATTGTTGTCAAGTCTTATGAGGGTGGAAGAGAGAGTCATGCCCGTGTAATTGTTCAGGCCCTTTTTGAAGAGTATTTTTGTGTTGAAGAATTATTTAGTGACAACATCCAGGTCAGTTTGTCCTATCAAAAATATAATTTATTTGTAATAACAATTGCTTCTCTTTGGTTCTCTGCAATGCTTGTTTACTCATTTGAAATCCTATGTTTCATAATTATTTTTAAGCTTTTAAAATCATTTCTTATGAAATATTTTTGACCGTATTTAATGCCAATCTTTTTATAATCTTGAATAATAGTAAAATCAGAAAATTTGATCAAATCATGTTATTTAAAATTTTCCAGTAATTGATTAATTAATTTCAAACTTTGATTCTTAGTTCTTTAATTTGTTCTGATATTGTAGAATTATATTCTAATGGCCAAATCTATGTGGAATTTAGCAGTTCACGCTATGATTCAGATGTTGGTTTCTTTTTTGTTGGCTTATGGGATTCTTCAAATTCTAATGCTATTTTCCATCTCCAGGCTGATGTAATTGAACGCCTTCGTCTTCAGTACAAGAAAGATCTTTTGAAGGTTGTGGACATTGTGCTTTCTCACCAGGTAGACACCAAGAATTCTAAAATTTAGACACGATGTCATTCTTTTTCTACATCTGGTATAATTTGCTGCCATGCATGTTTGTTGGTTTGCAGGGTATTAAGAGTAAAAATAAGCTGATACTACGACTAATGGAACAACTGGTGTACCCTAATCCTGCTGCATACAGGGATAAACTAATCCGATTCTCTGCACTCAACCATACAAATTATTCTGAGGTTAGCAGTTCCACGGAGCTCACTCTAATATAAATATTTAGTTTGTGTGCATGTCGGTTTCTTATGATTCTACATTCAATATCATTTGAGCTTTTTAAAAATAGCCCATAAGTCAATCAAGTGGGTGGACTTCACTCATTTATATCAGTTTTATTATCTCCTTACACCATCTTGTGAATTTCGGCAGTAGTAGTTTTCTCAACTAATTATCATTATCACTTCTTTGAAGTGGAGTTCTAAATCCCATTGTATTTCTGTAGCTTGCACTAAAGGCAAGTCAGCTGCTAGAACAGACCAAACTGAGTGAACTTCGTTCCAGCATTGCCAGAAGTCTTTCTGAATTAGAAATGTTCACTGAAGATGGTGAAAATATGGATACTCCAAAGAGAAAAAGTGCTATTAATGAACGGATGGAAGACCTTGTGAGTGCTCCTTTGGCTGTTGAAGATGCCCTTGTAGGTCTTTTTGATCACAGTGATCATACTCTTCAAAGGCGTGTTGTGGAGACTTATGTTCTTAGACTGTACCAGGTACCAAAGTTCTAAGTTCTGCAGTTATCTGTTTATCTTACTTTTGGACACTGTCTGATGCTTAATATACATGTCATCAGCCCTACCTTATAAAGGGGAGTGTCAGGATGCAATGGCAAAGATCGGGACTAATTGCTTCTTGGGAGTTCTTGGAAGAGCATATTGAGAGCAAGAATGGATCTGAAGATCAAATGACAGACAAGCCATTAGTTGAAAAACATGCTGAAAGGAAATGGGGAGCCATGGTCATCATCAAGTCTCTTCAGTTTTTGCCAACAGTGATAAGTGCTGCACTGAGGGAAACAACTCATAATATTCATAACACGATACCAAATGGATCTGTTGAACCCTCTAACCATGGTAATATGATGCATATTGCATTGGTGGGCATCAACAACCAGATGAGTTTGCTTCAGGACAGGTATACAACGTGCCTTTGCACTTCTGTTCTTGCATTCCTAGCTAGCCATAGTAACTTAACTCAACTCAGCAAAGCCTTTTCCCAACTACTTGGGGTGACGAGAGTTTTATTTTTCCATTCTGCTCTAAGGTAATGGTCGCAGTCCAACCACATGTTCCCATATCTTTCCTTACTAACTCTGGCCATGTTAATTTTGGCCGCCTTCTTTCTCTACCATTACCTTTAATGTGGATCATGTTCCTCTTCCTAACTTGTTCACTTAGAGGTTCTTTGCTCATGTCTAAAGCTTTGCCGGCAATCGAACATGGTTTTGCTAGGAAGTCCATTTTCCTAACTGTTGGACTGCAAACGCCTAGTAAATCTCTTCCCAGCAAGCTTTGTTTGATCGAGTCACGACTGAAATGGAATTAGCTTAGCCAACATCCATCATAATGAAAGCATTACATTCCAGTAGTCCCCAAATTGGCCTTGTCAGTCACACCTTTCCTCCCTGGGGCAATACAGCAATGATTCCCCAAAGGTTCATCAGCACTTTATATATTGTATTGGTACTTGTAGTTTAGCTTAGGGTTCTCAGTTGAGCTATTAGTATCCGACTCACATCTGATTAATCTCGTCTTATTTTTTATTTGCATATTGATTCAAACCATTGACGGCCATACTTACGAAAACAAAACAATAGCCATGTCTTTTTCTCCTCCCCTATACCTGAATCATGTGCTGCACAGTAAATTCAACTTTCTTTTACTGACTGGCTTAGTTTTCAACTCAAGATTTGCCTCAAAGTATTCTGCTGATCAATATGGCAGATAGTAACAGTATTTTGTGCTGAATCTGTGTAGTGGCGATGAAGATCAGGCTCAAGAGAGAATTAACAAGTTAGCCAAGATACTCAGAGAGAAAGAAGTAGGGTCCAGTCTTCGAAATGCAGGTGTTGGGGTTATTAGTTGTATCATACAGAGAGATGAAGGGAGGGCCCCTATGAGACACTCCTTCCATTGGTCAGTAGAAAATCTCCACTATGCAGAAGAGCCTCTATTGCGTCACCTGGAACCTCCTCTATCCATATACCTTGAATTGGTGTGTAATTATTTAACTCTGGCTTCACTCTGTTCAATCCCGAAAAGAATTTTTTTAAAAAAAAAATAAATAAAATGAGGAAAAAAGAAAAAAATTTGATTTTTCCATTTATATTGAGCTGATTAAAGGTCCATTAACCATTGGTTCCAGGACAAGCTCAAAGGCTATGCTAATATACAGTATACTCCCTCACGGGACCGTCAGTGGCACCTGTACACCGTTGTAGACAAGTCATCAATAATCCAAAGGATGTTTCTCAGAACGCTTGTAAGGCAGCCTACTGCAAATGAAGGGCTAATGGTGCATCAAGGACTGGAAACTGGAACTAGCAAAACCCAGTGGGCTATGTCTTTTACTTCAAGAAGCATTTTGAGGTCCTTAATCACTGCAATGGAGGAACTGGAGCTTCATGTTCATAATGCTACTATCAAATCTGACCATGCTCATATGTATCTTTATATCTTAAGGGAGCAACAAATCGAAGATCTTGTGCCTTACCCCAAGTAATCAAAATCTATACTTTTGTTCCATATTTTTTTTTTTCTTTTCAAATATGGTTAAGCCAAATTATTTCTACGGTGTCTTACTTTTGAGACTGTTACCAGGAGAGTTGACATAGATGCTGGGCAAGAAGAAGCTGCTGTTGAGATTATCTTGGAAGAGCTTGCATGTGAAATCCATGCATCCATTGGTGTAAAAATGCATCGCTTAGGTGTTTGTGAGTGGGAAGTGAAGCTTTGTGTGGCATCTGCTGGTCGGGCCAGTGGTGCTTGGAGAGTCGTCGTAGTAAATGTGACTGGTCACACCTGCATTGTGCATGTAAGTGTTTATATCATTTATTATTATTTGAAGGAATGTCTTCCATCCATCCATTATTTTCACTGGCTGGTACCCTAAAGCTAGGTTTTCAAATTTAGGACAAGGGAAATATAAAGGCATCACCCACATGTTATTTCCAACTATAAACCACAGGATTGTAATGGGTGATCATTTTTTCCCCCACAGGATAAATATAAATTATTTTTTTCCATAAATTTTAAAAAATGAAATAATGATGTCAATATTTTCCTTCACTGTTTAAAAATTGAGTTCATATAGTCAAATGACTCAAATCTACTTAAGAATTCACATTTAATGGATGAATAATAAAATAACACAGTTTACTTAAATCCATGATAGCAGCAGAAATCCTTAACACATATTTCATTCTATAAGTAAAATAATGATATATTTGAACCATTCTTGAATGTGAATGTCCTTATAAGCATGGGCTTACAACCTTAATTTTTCAATTCAATCAATAAGTTACAGATGGAGCATGAAATTCTCATCTTAGTAATTTTGACATAGTCTTTGAATATTATTCAGTATCATAATATCTATTAACATAACATTTAGACATACCGCGAACTGGAGCATACCGACGAACACAGAGTGGTCTACCATTCAACCTCTGCACCAGGCCCTCTGCATGGTGTACCTGTGAATGCACAGTATCAGCCATTGGGAGTTATTGATCGAAAACGTCTTTTGGCCAGGAAAAGCAACACAACTTACTGCTATGATTTCCCACTGGTGAGCACCTTGAAACTTGTATTTATGTGGAGTAGAGATATATAGCTTATTATATGTATTCTTGAAGTGGGATCTTGTTTCGCAGGCATTTGAGACGGCCTTGGAAATGTCCTGGGCATCCCAGTTCCCTGGTATTAGCAAAGCCAAGGGTAAAATTCTCAAAGTCACGGAACTCATTTTTGCTGACAAAAAAGGTTCCTGGGGTACTCCTCTTGTTTCTGTTGAGCGCCGACCTGGGCTCAATGACATTGGCATGGTAGCCTGGTGCATGGAAATGTCTACACCTGAATTCCCTTCTGGAAGGACAATTCTGATAGTAGCAAATGACGTGACATTCAAAGCTGGATCTTTCGGTCCAAAAGAGGACGCATTTTTCCTTGCAGTGACCAATCTTGCATGCAGTAAGAAAGTGCCTCTAATTTACTTGGCAGCTAACTCAGGGGCTCGAATTGGGGTATCTGATGAAGTAAAAGCTTGCTTTAAAGTTGGTTGGTTCGATGAATCAAGTCCCGAGCGTGGTTTTCAGTATGTATATCTGACTCCTGAGGATCATACCCGCATTGAATCATCCGTGATAGCGCATGAATTAAAGCTGTCAAGTGGAGAAACCCGATGGGTAATAGATACTATTATAGGAAAGGAGGATGGATTGGGGGTTGAGAACTTAACTGGGAGTGGAGCCATTGCTGGTGCATATTCAAGGGCATACAAGGAGACTTTTACATTAACTTATGTGACAGGAAGGACTGTTGGCATAGGTGCTTATCTTGCTCGGCTTGGGATGCGGTGCATACAGAGGCTTGATCAGCCTATTATTCTGACTGGTTTCTCTGCGTTAAACAAACTCCTGGGCCGGGAGGTGTATAGCTCTCACATGCAACTTGGTGGACCTAAAATTATGGCAACCAATGGTGTTGTTCATCTGACTGTCTCAGATGATCTTGAAGGGGTATCAGCTATCCTAAATTGGTTAAGCTATGTTCCACCCTACGTCGGCGGTCCACTTCCTGTTTTGACTTCCTTGGATCCTCCAGAAAGAGATGTTGACTACTTCCCTGAAAATGCATGTGATCCCCGTGGGGCTATCTGTGGTGTTGTGGATGGTAGTGGGAAGTGGCTGGGGGGCATGTTTGATAGGAATAGCTTTGTTGAGACACTGGAAGGCTGGGCGAGGACAGTTGTGACAGGAAGGGCGAAGCTTGGAGGAATCCCTGTTGGGATAGTTGCTGTTGAGACTCAAACCATGATGCAAGTTATCCCTGCAGATCCTGGGCAACTTGATTCCCATGAAAGGGTTGTTCCTCAAGCTGGGCAAGTATGGTTTCCCGATTCTGCAACTAAGACAGCTCAGGCACTGATGGATTTCAACAGGGAAGAGATCCCACTTTTCATTCTTGCTAACTGGAGAGGCTTTTCAGGTGGACAGAGGGACCTTTTCGAAGGGATTCTTCAGGCTGGGTCGACCATTGTTGAGAACCTTAGATCATACAAACAGCCTGTTTTTGTATACATCCCCATGATGGGAGAGCTCCGCGGTGGGGCATGGGTTGTTGTGGATAGTAGGATCAATTCAGATCATATTGAAATGTACGCAGAGCGGACAGCTAAAGGAAATGTCCTTGAGCCAGAAGGGATGATTGAGATCAAGTTCAGAACAAAGGAGCTGCTGGAGTGCATGAGTAGGCTTGACCAACAGCTTATCAATCTGAAAACAGAACTTCAGGAAGCCAGGAGAACCAGTACCCATGCAACTGTTGAATCTCTACAGCAACAGATAAAAACACGGGAGAAACAGCTTTTGCCTGTGTACACTCAGATAGCTACAAAATTTGCAGAACTGCATGATACTTCCCTAAGGATGGCTGCAAAAGGAGTAATAAGAGAAGTTGTGGACTGGAGGAACTCCCGGTCTTTCTTCCACAAAAGATTACGCCGGAGAATCACCGAGGGGTCATTGATCAAGACTGTGAGAGATGCTGCTGGTGATCAGCTGTCATACAAATCTGCAATGGAAATTATGAGGAAGTGGTTTTTGGATTCCAAGATCGCAGGAGGCAGAGAAGATGCTTGGTTGGATGATGAAGCTTTCTTCACTTGGAAGGATGATCCAGTGAACTATGATGAAAACCTACACGAGTTGCGTGTACAGAAAGTATTGCTTCAGCTATCAAATCTTGGTGATTCAACATTAGACCTACGAGCTCTACCTGATGGTCTTGCTGCCCTTATACGCAAGGTAAACCATCAGATTTGAATTTGTTGATTTCTAATTGCATTTTTTGTTTCTAGGGACCAGGAAATGATAGAACAAAATGAAAAAAAAGTAGGATTTACGTAACCAACACAATTGGGAAAAAGCCTTTTTGTTGTAGAGACCAGGAAATGATTTTTTGAATTTATTTGCAGGTGGAGCCAACATGCCGAGAGCAATTGATTGGTGAACTTCGAAAGGTGCTCAATTGATTAGCTTGGGTCATAGTTCACTGGGCAAGTATAGTTCCACGATTAGCTCCTTTCACTGATTGGGTCATAGTTCCATCTTGATGATCTTTGCTTGGGTCAAGGCTTTGCACCCCACCCCCACCCATAATGATCTTTTCTGGCAAAAGATGGAAGTTCATGTGCAGCATCAAGGAACTGGAGGAGCTCTTCTGCTGGGTTTTATTGTTCTACAAAGGTGTAAATATTGGTAATATGTGATCTATTATGTAGGATTAGTCTTTGATTGGTTGGTGGTTAAAAAGGATGATCCTAGAAGTCAATAGGTTCTAAATTTCACTTTCTATTATTATTATTATTTTTTGGTTGGTGGAGAATTTTATAAGAGTGCCATATCTTTCCAACTGATCAAGTAATTTTAAGTGTGTTTGATAACTCAATCTGAATATTATTGTATACGATAAATAAAATAAAATTTTAAGTGGCATGATATTTTTTTCTTCCTTTCCTTGTAAAATAGGCAACTTGGTGCTTCTTTAGAATATTTAGCACAAAATTCAGATGTGGAACTTGGAGAGAAATAGGGAGGCACCATTCATGATAATGGTGCCGCGGCCTGGTAATTTTTCAAGTCAGAGCAAACTCGAGCCTAGTTATTTTGGGCGAGAATCTTCGGAAGTGCAGTTGCTTTTCTCTAAATGGGCCTTTAACAAAATTAGGCTCAAATTCATTTGCAATATAATAAAATTGTGTGTATGTATAATATACTCAAGTTTTGTATAGTTGTTGTGTGATGACCATGTCATATTTTTTTCTTTTTTTCGACATTTTTTTAATTATTTTATTTTATTTATTTAATTATTTATTTCTTTTCTTGTTCCCTTAGGGTTTTGTGGGACCCGAGGTAGGGTTTGGTGTCCGGAATTGGTTTTCGACACTACATGCATTTACTTTAATTTATTTTATTGTTAATGCATGATTTATTTATTTATTTGTGTAGCAAAGTACGCTAGTTTGTTTTTATTTCTTGGGGGGTATAATTGCATTTTTACTTAGGAAACATTTTCATTTTTGGGGGGTCTTTGTGCGATTATCTTTTTGAGACATTTTGGTTTAGGAACCTTTTTACAATTATTTTTGGAAGATATTTTGTTCAAGGACTTTTTTTGCAATTTTTGGAAAGTAGTGACAAGTATCACCTTTTCCTTAGATAACGTGTTGACTTTTGTTTGGAGACAAGTGGAGGGTTTGGATGATGCCGAGTGTTGGATGGATTTTAAATCTTGTGAGGATTCTTAGATTGTGACAAGTGGAGGGTAGAGATTAAAGTTTGTGTGTGAGAGGTAGTGCTAATGTAGTGAAGTGTATACAAAACATTTAGTTAGTGGAGAAACTAGGGATTTTCCACTTCATCTTCTTCCTCACTCACTGTGGAGGGAAAAATCCCTTTCCAATAAGAATCATCCACATCACTGCAATAAAGAATTACCTTATTGGTTTTTCGCTAGCCCATTGAAGCCCACTCCTGATCAAGCTTAAGTGAAGTCACTATCAGCCCAAGGATGTTAATGTTGAATTCTCAGCCTGCTAAAAAGCTCATCCGGCCCAATTTGTAAATGACCCAAGTTCAGTTTAGATTAATCAAGTCTTATTTATCAAAGGATCCTTCATATAAGGAAGTTCTATATAAGAAAAGTCTTGAATAGAAAGAGTTATAGAAGGAAAGAACTGTAGGTAAAAAATTATATATAGAATATATTGGAGGACAAGCAAAGCGAATCTTACCATAATTCCACCATCTTTTTGTATATAAATAGAGCCTTAATCCTCCAATAAAGATGATCGAGCAATACAAGTTTTTCTCTGAATGATTCTTGTTAATTGTTCTTTTATTTTGAGTGAGTTGTATTTATTCTTTTAACTTTCTTAGTTAAGTGAATTTTTGCACCTACACTTTGGCGCCGTCTGTGGGAAACGTATAGAAATATACTCCCGTGAATAAATTCGAAATCTTTTTATGCTACTATGATCCGGGATGTCAATCGGAGGAGTTACAACCGCAGTTGATCAACAGATGGAGCTAATGCAAAAGATGCAAGAAGAGTTCTTGTAACAATTCGAGACTCTTCGTCAAACAAACGAGACCAGCATGGCTTAGATTACGTTGCTTCAGCAGAGAAATGATGCTCTCTAGGCAGTTATGGCGCAGGTAGCACCACAACCACCACCAGGCGATGCAGCGGGAGCTCCCCCCAACCACAATATTCCTCCTATTAACGAACCTCAAGCCAATGAGGTTTGGCCTAATGAGGTTCAGCAAGAGTAGAGGACGAGACCGAGGTAGTTGCTTCGGATAATCACCCTTATCGCGCACAAGATAAACAGGTCGAATCCAGCCGCAAACTCACAGTATGGACAAATGGCGTTCAGGATGGTGTCCAGGAGGCTTTTGATGAAAAGAAGCTCCTGAGGATTCAGACACCCGCCGAGATGGCCAGGGAGCATAAGGCCTTTCTGGTGAAGACACCATTCACTGATCATATATACTATGTCGACAGACCAAAAAAATTCACTATGCCGTCCTTCACTTAGTTTGATGGCACGGGAGATCCTTCCCGCCACCTCGATCATTATTCACAAAAGATTGCTCTAGACAACTACAACGATGCATTCATGTGTAAAGTTTTCCCAACTAGTCTAACGGGAGCCGCATTGGAATGGTTCAAGAATAAGCCACATAAGTCCATCCCGAACTACGAAACTTTGTGCGCCATGTTCCTAGCACAATACTGCAGAAATAAAAAGCAGAAGAACACTATCGCTAGTCTTTTCACTATAAGATAGAAGAGAGGATAAACGTTACAGGATTTCCTCTCCAGGTTCAACATGGAGGCTTCGGAGATAGCAGATTGTCACCCTGAGACTGCTATAGAAACGTTCAAGATCGGTATGATCTAGGGAACCAAGTTCCATACCTCCTTAGTCAAATATTCCCTTCCGGATATGCAGACTCTCAATGCCTGGGCACAAATTTACATTTGACTTGAAGAGAATGTAGCCTACTGAGCACAACATGCCACCCTCGCCACGGTATAAAATAAGCCTCGGGAAAAAGCTTCGAATTCAAAGAGTCAAAGAAGCCAATATGCCTCAGCACTAGTCGTCCAGATACCTGAGAAAAGGCAAAGGACTGAGGAGAGATGTTAACACCCCTCCATACCACATTGGCCCGATTATTCTAGGAGAACAAAGTTAGATTCACCACTCCTCAACCAATGCGACAACCCTTGGAATAGAGGGACAAGAATAAACATTACACCTACCATAGGGATTATGGACATACAACCAATGATTGTAGGTCCCTTAGGCGACAAGTGGAAAATATGATAGTTAGAGGAGACTCAACAGATTATCTTGCACCAAAGGAACAGCCGAGGCCGAAGGAGGTTAATCCTCGAAAGGTAGAAGGAAATCAAGTTAAGGTCATTCATGCAATACATGGGAAGTCGGACGAAGACCAAGAATTGGAAGAGGTGTACCGCTCCAGATTGAGGGCAGTCCACAGGTTAAGGAAGTTATCTGCAGTAAACACCATTGCTTCAGGCAGTATTAGTATCAGATTTGGAGATGGAGATTTATCAAGAGTGCAGCTTCCCCATAAAGATCCACTTGTCATTAGTCTGTTGGTAGCAAATTACATGATTAAAAGAGTCTTGGTAGACCCGGGCAGCAGCGCTAATATTATAACAAAAGTAGCCTTTGAACAACTGGAGATCTCATCATCATTAATTTAAGTCACTTCCAGTCCTTTGATGGGGTTTGATGGAACAAAGGTAGACCCTATTGGGGTAATCAATTTATCATGCACTGCGGCGAAGAGGACACTGAAAGAAAACTTTATTCTAACAGAAATTCATCCTTCCTACAATCTTATTATAGGAAGAGGTTGGATTCATCGAATGAATGGAGTACCGTCTACTTTTCATCAGGTGATGCGATGCTTATCTCCAGATGGAAAAGAAGTTATTAACCTTTGGGGAGATCAAGTTGCTGCAAAAGAATGATACATATTGACGTTGAATGAGGCAAAGAAAGGAATTACGATGTTCAAACTAGATACGGCCCCTGAAGGTATTGATAAATAGCAATTACAGAGTCCTCTGCCCAAGTATTTGGAAGCAGAGGCAGAAGCTGAAGCTACAAAGCCCACTGAGGAATCTCTTGAAGCTGTCAAAGTTATCCTCGGCAATTCGCAGAAAGTCACTTATATGGGTTCTTCCCCCACAACCGAAGAGAAGGAAGGGTTAGTTGGTGTCATCTAAAGAAATGCAGATACATTCGCCTAGGTCCATTCGGACATGCTGGGAATCAGCCCTTTGGTCTCATGCCATAACCTAAGGGTGGACCTTTTATTCAGGCCAGTCAAACAAAGACATAGAAGGTTCGTTCCTGAAAAAAATCGAATCATTGCTGAAGAAGTAGACAAGTTGCTTCGAGCAGGCTTTATCTGCAAAGTACACTACCCTCAATGGCTTTCGACCGTAGTGGTGGTCCAAAAGAAGATTGGAAAGTGGAGAGTTTGTATAGATTTTACCAACTTCATTAAGGCTTGTCCCAAGGATAGTTTTCCACTACCAGAGATAGATCAGATGGTTAATGCTACCACAGGTTATGAGAGACTCACATTCTTTTGATGCATACTCCGAGTACAATTAGATTCCTATGAATCCAGAGGATGAAAAAAAAACATCCTTCATTACAGAGAACGGAACTTACTGTTATAAAGTCATGCCCTTCGGACTTAAGAACGCTGGGGCTACTTACCAGCGTCTCGTTAACAAGATCTTCAACAAAATGTTGGGAAAAATAGTTGAAGCCTATATTGATGACATGGTAGTTAAAAGTGTGAAGAAAGAATTTCATCCCAGGCACCTCCAAGAAGTCTTTGACACTTTGAGAAAGTATAATATGAGGTTAAACCCTTCCAAGTGTTCCTTTGCAGTCTCGTCAGGACAATTCCTCGGCCATATTGTCAACAAAAGAGGAATAAAAGTAAGCCTGACTCAGGCTCAAGCCCTCATACAAAATCAGGAGCCAAAAACTCGTAGGGAAGTACAGTTTCTAACCGGCCGAATTGCAGCTCTCAGCCGTTTCATATCCCAACTGTCCTATAAGTGTAAACCATTCTTTGATGCTATAAGGTATAGGGACCCCAGCAACAAGAAGCTCTTACTCAATTAAAGTACTATATGACTAAACCCCCAATTTTGTCTGCCCCGAAGCCTGACGAAGCCCTCGTCATGTATTTAGCAATCTCTGGAATAACTACAAGTGCCGTACTGATCCGAGAGGAAGGAAAGAATCAACACCCGGTCTTTTACACAAGTAAGACAATGATAGATGCTGAAACAAGATATAGCAAAGCGGAGAAGATCATATTAGCCTTAGTATATGCAAAAAGGAAGCTCAGGCACTACTTCGAGTCTCACC